ACTCTTCTTCTTCTCCTTCTCCTTCCTCTTCTTCTTTCTTCTTCTTCTTCCTCTTCTTCTTCTTCTTCTTCGCCAATCCAGCAATCTGACCCTGAGTCCCCCAGCTTAGAGGATTTTTTTTCCATATAACTATGATCACTTTCTCCTGTACTCCCAGTCATGTGCATTTCGTTAACAGATATTTTCATAGACTATTATGTCTACTTAACACTTAGACTATTTCAATATCTATTTAGATAGACATTGAAATAGTCTCTTTAAAGCAATGATGTCTAAGGCAATGGTTTTATTGGTCAAGACAAAGGTCTGTCTCTGTGGATAAGAAGGGCTGGTGGGAGTGAGGAGGTGCTAATCTAAGCCCATCTGGTCTCAGCCACTGTAGCACTTGCAATAAATCCATAGGCTCCATCCTCAGCCTGGGTAGGCTACATTTGGAGGCTGGTACTAGGAGGCTTAGTGGATAGAGAGCCAGGCCTGAGGTTGGGAAGACTCTTCTTTGTGAGTTCAAATCTGGTCTCAGACACTTATTAGCTATGTGACCTTGAGCAGGTTACTTAACCCTGTTTGCCTCAGTTTCCTCATCTGCAAAATGAGCTGGAGGAAGAAATGGCAAACTACTCTAGTATCTTTGCCAAGAAAACCTCAAATGGGAGTGGGAAAAAATATTTTTTTTCCCTATCTAAGTTCACCGAGCTCTTCCTCTTTAAATCAATCCATGGACTTTTGGAGTCCATGAACCCTAGGCTGATGAGCAATATTTTACTCCAATTCTCTTATTTTTTGCTGTATGTCTATGAGAAAATGGTTTAACTACTCTGATCCTCATTTTCTTCATTTGTAAAATGGAAGTAGAAATACTTGTCTACTTGACTACTGTCTCATAGGAATTTTGTTAGGAAGGAGGTCTCAGTACCCTAAAGGGCTACATAAATACAACCTATTACTATAGAGCTGTCCTGGAAGACCTGAATTTGAACCTTGGTCCCCTGACTTAGGTGGTAATGAGCTTCCAGTTCCTTTTGATTGATTGGGTGAAGACTACTGATGGAGATCATGGAACAAAACAGAATATTAGACCAGGAAAAGGTCTTGATGACATGTGGGCCAATCTCATTCTTGAGCAGGAACCCCTTCTGCAACATTCTTGCCAGGTGGTTGGCCAATCTTTGCTTGAAGACCTCCAGCACTAGGGAGCTCATTACCTTTCAAGACAGCCCAACTGCCCTTTAGGTTGGCTCTCATGATGGGAAAGTTTGCTCTCACTTCAAATCACAATCTGTCTCTGCAGGGTGTATTTGTAGCTCCTTCTTCTGTCCTTCATCCAAGTAAAGCCCTTTAAATACTTGAAGACAGGGATCACTGTATCCCCTTCTCTGCCAACTGCTGCCTTCCTGACCATGGAGCCTTTTCTCCTGGCCAGCTGTCTCCATCTTCTTGACTGGTATTTCATATAACAAAGTTTCCAGGCCCATCCCACTGCTGGGTGCCCTATGGAATGTTCCAGCTTATCACCGACGTTGTTGAGATTAGTATCTCAGCTCTCAGGCACTCAGGCCCACTGAGGTTCAACAGTAATCCAAACCCACCTTTTTCTCTAACAGTGAATTATGAAACTGATCCTCTAAATTATCTCTCTGGTGTCAGGTCCCTGACAGGGCCAATTTTTAAAAATGTGTGGGTTTTGAGCTGCAAATTGATTTTTTATTGTGATAAATTAAAATCCAATATCATCCAACGAGACACTAAACACAGAGGCACCTAAATTATTTTTCCTCTTGAATGTTTTGTCTCTTTTATATTAAAATGAATCTCTGGTGGCTGCTGAGTCTAAGTAAGCACTGTCAGTGGACAGCAAATACCACACGATATGGAAATTTCATGCAAATAAGGGGCAATGCCAAAACAAAACAAAACAAAACAAAACAGAAAACCCTCCAGCCTTCTTAGGTTCCCAGGAATTGAGAGGCTGAAGCAACCTCAGAGGTCATGTGGACCACTCCCATCTTCTGAGATGGAGGCTCAGATTGGGTAAGTCATTTACTGGCATGCTAATTAACCAAGTGGTTATTAAGCTCCCACTGTGCTAGGCACTAGAAAACAACAGAGTTAAGAGCTGTGTCCTGACTCCAAGATCATCCATGATCCCGTGCTGCCTCTATTATAGTGATCCTATAACTGCCTCATTCAAATTCCTAGAATCGAAGATGCCCATATTTGGAAGGGACCTCAGGCGCCATGGGTTCAACCCAGTCATGGACAATAATCTCCACACCCCACCCCTGGTGATATGGCTCACGAATGGTCATCTTTTCTAGAGGACCTCTGCTGGTGGTGAGTAGGAAGCCACCACCTCCCATGGTGGCCCATTCCTCTCTAGGATGGCTCTCATTGTTAGGAAGCTCTTTCTTCGTCTTTGAGCACCTTCCACCCATTGCTCCTAAATCGACCCACTGTAATCAGTCAGAAGAAGAATCCTTTCTCTATGTGACAGTTTTCAAGTACTTCAATAAATGAAAGCTTTCTTCTCCCAATGTCTTCTTTTCTTCAGATTAAACATCCCCAGTTAATCAAACATTTATTCATCCCTCAAGGCCCTTCACTATTCTTTCTGCCATCATCTCAATGTTCTCCACAGTATCAATGAATCTACAATCCTGTGACTAGATGATGACACACTGTAGTGAGTACACTCATTAATTAAGTCCCAAGACCATGGGCTCATCGAGGTACAAATACTAATGCACCCAGAGGTGGGCAATCAGGATGGCAATGGGGACTTGATACCAAGTACATATGTATTCATTCACTCATTCATCATAATGGGCCCGGCATGAGGATCCATGATACATTACAAGGTACAGTGGAAAGTCTTCAGAGAAGCGAATGGGTCATTTAAGGACAATTACGGGAAGGTATGAGAACATGTCGATGGATTTTGATCAACAGGAATTAAGGGACTAGAGACACCAATAAGATTTTTTGGGGTGAGGTGTCTAGATCTGTTGTTTTGTTGGCATAAGAATCTCTCAATGAGTAACCTTCCTCTACCAATGTTGATAAGTATGCCACTTAAATTATTAAAGTTGCCCAGGGTCCTGGGGAGTTAAGTGACCTGCTAGGGATTACACAACCAACTGATACCCGAGGCTAGGCTTCAACCCAGGCCACCTTGATTCCAAAACTGGCTTTCTATCCAAAATGACATTCTGCCCTGAGGTTATGTAGCCTCTGAAATTTGTGGTAGGTGCTGAGAGGGCCATCAGAGAGGTAATTCAAGGTCAATTTTTACAAGTCCCTTCTCTTAAGGAACTTCCACAGTCCAGTAGGGAGAGATAAGCCATGTGCACAGAGAAGCAGAAAGCCAATCAGAACGTTGTTCAGAGTGCTTTAGACAGGTGTGGATGCATCCATGCATGACTGGGAAGCTCTTCTGGAGTGGGGCAGAATTCTAACGGCCGTTTTAATCCCTTTGATATTAATGATAACTAGACATCCGATAATATGAATAGCCCTCAATCGAGAGGCATTTCCACCCCATGTTAGCAATTCAAAAAAAGAAAGTTAATCGTATAAGGATTGGGATCAAAGGCCCTTTGAAATTTGAGACAGAGTGTAAATTGCTGTAACCAATCTCTTTAATTGGGATCAATATCTCTGACAGCTTTTTGTTTTGAGATTCTAGGGAGAACTCTGGTCTGCTAATGTTTCTTTTTTTCTTTTTTTTTTTATTGGGGGATGGGGAACAACAACAAACCCTCCTCCAACTGTGGGGATGAATAAAGGCTGGGGTAAGGCAGATCTCCTTCCAGATGCCAAAGGTATCTCTGGGGAAAAAAAAAAAGCCTCAACCGAAAATGCGACTTCAGTCCCCACCCTAGACATATTTCCCACCTTCAAAGATCTAGGAAATTTGGCTTGCTGATAATTACAAATGGATTTTTTTTTACATAGAAATATAACCAAGGGGTCCTTGGACCTCATTGTATAGCAGGTAAACTGTATAGCCCAGATCTTGTGCATTGCCGTTTTTACCCTCCCAAGCCTCCAGATGCCCCTACCTTCCCACTGCCCTCTCTTCCAAGAGACCAAGAGAGAACAGTTTCTGTTGCCGTTGCTTCTTTATACAAAACAAAACAAAACAAAAACAAAAAACAAAACTACCTACAAAAAAACTCTGAGAATTTCATCTTGACTTCTCTGTCTTCCTTGGACAAACCCTTATTTGGTCACAGGATGTGGGGCCAGGGAACTGGGTTCAAATGCTGGCTTTGCCACTTACCATATTCTGTGACCTTGGGCATATCATTTTAATTCCTATGTGCCTTAGTTGCCTCATCTATAAAAATGAGTGGCTTGTACTAAATAGTTGCCGAAGTTCCTTCCAGCTCCAAATTTGTGATTCTAGGAGCCACTGAGTCAAAAACAATGGATGAGTCTGAGCATGAAAAGCCACTTTGAAATTGGCAAACCCAGAAATATCCCTCACCCCATCTTTGGCAGGCCCAAAGAACACATCCACTATATCTTTCCTGGTCACAGAGTGATGAATTTGGGGGTTTTAAAGATTAAGAGCCCAATTCCCTTGCTGAAATTACACCAACTTCAAGGTGCTGGAGGTTAAACCAGGGTGTCAGAATTCATTGAAACTGAAGCAAAAGGCCTTGCTGAGTATCCATGGTTAATATGGCAAATAGGGATGGAAATTTCCTATAAATAGTGGAACTACCCTCGGCTCATCTAACTCTATCAATCTCCCGTTAGAGGACAGGGATCCCATGGCATTTTTAGCACAACCCAGAGTACCCCTATAGTGTGCAATTGCCTCCCAACCCACTCAGCAAAGAGGCTCTCTGTGATGGACGAGCCCCACTGATCAAGTTTGTCAGCTGCCTTATGTGTGTTTATGTGGATTGGAGATCTCTGAGAAGTGAGAGAAACCTTTTAAGGGCACATCTGTCAATAAATTCAATCCCGTTCTGTCATATCATTCTTTTACTTACTCCTGTCTTTTCATCAAAGATTTTGATTCCTCCAAAGGAGATGGTTAAAAAGATTTTCTGTTTGTGTTCTCCTTTGGAACGGGCTCCAGCGACAACTCCCTGTGGAGAGAAAGGACAGGGTTTGAGTTCAGCATTTTCGCAGCTCTTCCCTGGTAGCTTTGCTGCACAGGGGCCCCCTAAGGTAGGTCAGATACCATCAACCCACAGACAACAATCCTTTACTTCAGTACCAGTCTCGTTGGCCCTTTTATTCTCTCATGGTCCTATTTTCCAAATTCTAAAAGGTTGACGGCTTAGTCTGATGGAAACACAGCTGGACAGGGAATGAGAAGACTGTGTTTTAAATCCTGGCTCTACAATATCCTAAGTTTGTGACCTTGAGAAAATCACTCAACCTTTCTTGGTCTCAGTTTCCCCTATTGTAAAATGAGATAGATGGACTAGATAAACACTAAATTCCCTTCTTGTTTGAGATCTAGGATTCTACTAACCTCTGACAACAGATCGCACGTGTTGGCTAATTCCTCCAGAATTTATTCATTCATTCTTCCATTCTTCCTGTTTTTTCCATCAAATAAGACATTATATATATAAAATGGTTCGAATAGCTTAAGATGCTATATAAATGTCAGCAACTATTATTATAACTCATTTATTCACTGATTCATTCATTCATTTGTTCACTCATTTATTTTTTCATTGAGAAAACATCATGGTGTCTCCAAAAGGCATACTGAGGTAGGAAACAGGAGAGTTAACTTCTAGTCTTGGCCCTGCCATTAACTCATGATCTGACTTCGAATAGGCAATTCATTTCTCTAAGTCTCAGTTGCCCTATTTGTCAAATGAAGGGTTAGGATTAAATGATCTTGGGGGTCCTGTTCAATTCTGATATTCCATGATTTACTAAAGGATCTGCTAAGCTAAGGAAATGTATTAGAATATGGGGAACTACAAAGAGAAAAGCAGACAAAGTCTCTCATTCCATAACACTCAGAGTCTATTAGGAGAGATGGAACTTGGTCATGTCAGTATGGAAAACAGAACAGAGTAAGAGAAGTCTGAAAAATGGTGCTGTAATGAGTAAAATCATAGAAGGGACAGATCACTTCTAGGTGGGAAGGGGCAGAGAGGAGTCTGGGAGAAGGAGGGCTTCTTGAATCAGCTAGCAACTTGGCCTCGAAGATGGGTAGAATCCCAACAGGTAGAGAGTAGGAGGCCCAGCTGAGACCCAAGAGAAGCTCTCATAGCCTTTGCGGGATAGTGAGCAATTTACTCATTCATTCATTCATCCATTAATTGAGTCATTGAGAGAGCATTTATTGAATGGTTCTTTTGTGTTGACAAAGGTATATTGAGCACTCTAGACATGCAAAGAAGAAGGCACTATGAACCCTTCTCTGGAATAGATTAAAAAAGCTGTTGGGGGAGATAGGCCATCTCCACCTGAAACAAAAGAATAATGAGCATTTGTCTGTTAATCTAGCCCAGAAGGGCTGAGCTGTCTTAAGTGCTGATGGAATGTAAATGAAGGTCAAAATCACTGAGTAAAGAGTTATGAGTCTCATGTCACAATGCCATCATCATTAGCATCATCAGATGGATTTTTTTTTCTGTTTTTAAAGCCCAAGTTAAGCAGCTTTGGCTTTTACCTTCTAGGATTCTGGTGAGCATGAAATGACTATTTCTCATTGCTGGAATGTAAGGAGTTTGCACTGATTTGCTACATAATAATGCTTCAGAAAAAGACCAGTGCTATGTGGCACGGATACTAGAATCAAGGAATGATAGAGCTGGGAGGGGCCTTAGAACAGAAAGCGTCAGAACTAGGAAGGGCTTTAGAACACAGAATGTCGAAGTTAGAAGGGGCCTTAGAACAGAGAATTTCCTAGTTGGGAGGGCCCTTAGGACAGAGCATGTCAGGGTTGTGAAGGGTCTTACAACAGGAAATGTCAGAGCTGGGAGAGGATTTAGAATTTACAAAGTCAGAGGTGAGAAATATCTTAAAACATACAATGATCGAGCTGGAAGAGACAAAGGATGTCAGAGCAGCAGGGATTTTAGAACATAGAATGTTGGAGTTAGAAAGAACCTTAGGTATCATCTAGTTCAAAGGTTCTGTTTTTAGGGGAGTAAAGTCTTTGGCCCTGTGGGAAACCTAGGGACCCCTTGGAATAAAGTTTTTTTTTAAGTTCATATAATAAAATAAAGGAAACCAAGTATATGGAAATATAGATATCCAAAGTTCCCAGCCCCCTGACTGAAGTCAACCCAATCATTACATAGATGCCTTAACAGCCTCATCTCCTATTACTTCTTTCCACTCCATCCATGCTCAGGCCACCTTTCATATGCTGAAAGCCCTGGAATTTCCTAACCTCATGCTGTTACTTATACCTGGAATAACATTCTTCTCCCTCTTCACTGGCCACCTTCCTGTTCAAACTTTAATGTTCAATTCAAATGATGTCTCCTCTGCTATAAAGCCTGATTGTTTCCTCCTTCCCTCTTTCTCCATTAGTAACAACCATTCCTTTCTGACCTGATTTTACCACAGCCCATATGGTAGTGAAAGGGTCCATACAGCATTGAAGGCTAGTTTGCCTCAGTTTCCTTATCTAACCCGATGGCATATTTACATTATCCATATTAGGCACACAGATTTGGAGCTGTATGGGACTTTAGGGACCATTTAGTATCATCCCATCCTAATTTGTGCCAATAATAAATCTCATGAAGTGGTCACATGCATTCACATTTGTACTATTCAAAGCTATAATTTTGTAAAATGTGGTCATTGGTTCCAGTCCAATGGAAACATACAGTTTATATTGAATTGTGACCGCTCTCTTCTCAAGATTAAGTATTCATACTACTGTACTAGAGACTTATCTGTACAAAAGAGGAAACTGAGGCTTCAAATGGTTATGTGACCTGGAAGAAAGAAGGAGAGCCAGGATTAGAACTCAGGTCCTGTGACTTGAAATTCACAGCTCTCCACTGTGTCAATTTCCCTAAAGCCATGAGTTACATTAAAAAGTTCATATGAATGTAAGTTATTTGTATTCTTACGGTCAGAAATGACTGGCATCATTAAAAACAATTCCATCTCTTCCCATTCCCTGTTGGTAGAAGCACGTACCCCATCTGGTTCTACGTACCTTGAGCTTCATCATAGAATCTTGACATAACTTGTCTCCCCGTGCGGCAGAAACTTCATCAATGCCGATCAACTTGGCCTTGTATCGGACGCCTTCACCCTTGAACCTCTTTATCAAAGTGGCTTCGCTGCGATCCTGACCTGGGGAGAAAGAACAAAATGGCATTTAGATATTCAGGCAGGGAACAGGGTTGGGAGGCAACTTAGGAGAAGCTAGGGACAAACCCACCCTTGGGCTCGACTTATGATCCATTCAAGAGATGTTGACTTCACTTAGTTACTAGTGGGAAAAAGTTTATAAGGATAAATGTGTAAGCATGAAAGTCTTCTGGTGCTTGGGTCCCAGTGCTGGTTGGGCAACTTATTCTCTGTCTGTCTTTGACCAAGTCATTCAATGAGTCTCAGTTTTTTTCATCTATAAATAATAAATCTATAAATAATTGTTTTTTCATCTATAGATGGAAACTCTGAAATTTTTTTCTGGCTCTTGATTTGGGACCTTATGAGAGACCCTAGGCAAGTCACTTACTTCTTGGGGCCTCAGTTTCCTTATTTGTTAAATGAAGGGGTGGATAAGATGGAGGATCTGAGGTACCTTCCAGTTCCAGGTCTATGAAATGATATGTGATGTTAAGCAAGTCAACAAATCTCTCTTGGACTAAATTTCTTTCTTTGTTTCTTTCCTTCTTTCTTTTTCTTTCTTTCTCTCTCTCTCTTTCTTTATTTCTTTTTTTTTATAAAATGAAGGGATTATATTACATGGCCTCTGAAGTGCCTTCCAGATCTGGATCTATGCTCCTACAAAATACTCTCCTTTATTCTGACTTTTAGACTCATTATAGACCAAATTCTGCAATAATACCTGACTCCAATATGCCTCTTTTACATTTTTTCTAATCGCTTTACCTACATCATCTCATCTGAGCTTCATTCTACCCCTGTGAAGTACTAGGTATCAGTGCCCCCATTTAATAGATAAGGAAATTGAGACTCAGAGTAAAGTAAGTCGCCCAGGGTCACACAACGAGGGTCAGAATTTCTTAACACCAAGTATAACATGCTATCCAATACAATAGGTTGTTGTGGGACAGAGAAAGAGCAGAGGTGTTGGAACTAGGATACCCAGGTTTGAATCCTGCTTCTGTACTTACTAACTGTGTGAACCTGGGTAAGTAACCTAACCTGTCTGGGTCCACAGTTTCTTCCTCTGTAAAATGGAGGTAATTATAATAACCATAATAACAATAACAACAACAACAATAATAATAATAATGATTGCATTATCTGTATTACAGGTTTGTTGTTTAGAGTACACTTTGTAATATACCTTCCCTCCCTCCCTCCCTTCCTCCTTCTTTCTTTGCTTCCCTCCCTCTTTCCTTCCTCCTTCCTTCTTTCTCTCCCTCCCTCCCTCCCGTCCTTCCTTCAGTGGAGTTTTATTTGCCCCAGAAGCTCATAACTGAGCTCCATGGGCTTGCCAGGCTGCTTCAAGAAGGAGGCCTTGGCTACTCAAGTCTTGCCCATCTTTCCTTTTTCCATTTCCTTTCTTGAGCACATGTGATAGGCTCCTATGAATGCAAGTTTAGAGCTAGAAAAGTCCATGGAGCCTGCTCAGTCCACACTGCTCACATTACAGATGGAGGTCTCCAACTCCTTGAGCTTGCTCAGAGTTGCACAGTCAGCACGGGTCAGAGGGAGGACTTAAACCCAGTTGCTCCTGACTCCAGTTATGTTGCTATACTTCCCACACCATATTTTGCATTTCCATCTCTTGTACAGCACCTGGCATATAGTAGTTGTTCACTTTATGCTTGATGAATGAATGAACATCACTAATTCCTTTGAGTACAGATAGAAGCTACTTCATCATAAGGCCTCTGTAAGCATCTGATGCTCTGTGGTCATTAAATAATGATACTTTGCCTTCTGAAGCAGGCAGGCACATTGATTGTTTATAATTCAAGGAAAAAATATCAATATGTAAAGTAAATGATATTGATCCTTCTTTAAGAAAAGCTTAGGTCCTCTGATGCCAAAATCATCAGTAAACACATGGTTAAATGTCCTTGTACCCGAACTTGGGAAAGAATGTAATAAAACAAACAGAAGAGAGTTAAAGGACCTGACTTCAAATCCTGATGGCCATTTAGGACCTGTGTGACTCTGAGGAAATCACTAACCCTCTCTGGGCTTGTGTTTCCTCATTATAAAAGCAAAACGTTTAGGTTGGATAGAAGGCAGGGTGGTATTGTGGAGGAACAGTAGACTTGGAGTCAGGGGACAGGTTCAAATCCTGCCTCAATCATCTACTATCTGCATGATCTTGAGCAAGTTACTTAACCTCTTTGAGACACCAAGCCCAATCTTCTCATTTTAAAGATGAGAAAACTGAAGTGAAGACAAGTGAATTGACTTATTCCATCTTCCAAGTCCACCACTGCTATCTAAAATGCATCTCCTCCCACTCCCCTACCCCTAACTCTCCAGAGAATAACAGAGAACAAGACGCTGGAACAAGGATCTTTATTCCAAACCTGGGTATGGCCTTCCACAAGCCATTTCTCCTCACAGGAATAGGAGGATTTAGAATTGGAAGGGTCCTTAGAGAGAGTCAATAAACACATAATAAGCACCTTCCATGTGCCAGGCACTGTGATAAACCCCGTGGGGATGAAGAAATGAAACTTACAAAACTTACAATCAATCTGATGGAGGAGACAGAAAGCAAACAACTACGTACAAAAAGCTGTTTTATTTTTACAGATGCAAAAGTAGATTCAGCAAGTTGGAAAGGACTTACCCAAGGTAACCCAACTCGCAGTGGCAAAGCCCAAGTACTCTGACTGCAAAGCCACATTCCACAAGCATTGATTGCGAGCCTCCGGGGGGTCATGCACTGGAAATACAAAGGCTTCGCCAAAACTCAGGGACATTTCCACTGACTTCACTGACAAATGTAGCCTCCCCGTGGGGACATGGTGAGGATCAAATGAGACAGCACATATGATATCGCTTTGCCGACATTAATAGGGGTATGCAGATACAAAGTCAACGATGATGGAATTCTTTTCTTTTTTAGGATTCTCTTTCCCCTTAAGCTGCTTTCCTTCTTGCCCCCAGGCAAGATCACAGAATCACAGATCACAGAACAGAAGACTTTCTTTGAGGATCACCTGGTAATCTCAAGCTCACATGTCCCCTACTACATGAGGGTTGGCCTGCCCCTCCCAGGGATCTTAAAATGGTTGCGGATTACTTTGTATTTCCTTTTCATTTACTCCCATAATGCTGTATTCTACCCATTATGGGCTAGTTTGGTGGAGGGACAGACCTGGGGTTACACTTACGTGTACACACGCCTGCAGTGCCTGGCTTTTAGCATGCAGGGGTAGGAGGCTGGACTTGAGAGCAAAAATCCCGCCTCAAATGCTCACCAGCTGGGTGACCCTGGTCAAGTAACTTAACCTCCCATAATCTCAGTTTCCTTAGCTGTAAAACGTGAATAATAATAGCACCTGCCTTCCAGGCTTGCTGTGAGAATTAAATGAGATGCCGGTAGGGAAAGCACTTTTGGAAATCTTAAAATGCGGTCTAAATGCTAGTCACTGTTAGTGTTATTGATAAATATTATTATGATTGATAAGTGCTTGTTGAATTGAATTGAATTGAATTGCATTTGGTCTAGCTCCCCGCCTGCCTTTAGGCAGGTAAACAAAACCTTACATCATTTTGCAGATGGGCCAGCAGATTGGCCACAGTCACCGAGCCAGTGCAGGCAGGGGTGTTGGAGGGTAGAGTTGGCGGATCCCAACCTCTGGGTTGCCTCCTCTAGCGCTCCATACCCTGCTGGGATTAAGCAGTGGCTAGACCATTTACGCTTGTTAAATAATATTTCATGAGAGATGCACGGCACATGGCTGATGAGTCAGAAACTGTAACTAATGTTAAAATTAAGCCTCAGGGAAAGGCAGAGGCAGATGTTGGTACCTATAGCTAAAAGCTAAGGGAGGTCCATTTGACATGCCAGGGTCCTGTAAACAGCATCTGCCGGAGCAAGCAGGCACAATGGTGTCAATGGCTCCATCTCCCAACCCTCTCTCCAAAGGGGGCTGAAGAGAAAGATAACTTAGTCAGCATTTTCTTCTACCAATAAAAACCCAGCTCTACTCATCCCCCCTGACAGCTCTCAGCCCCACATCTTCAATATACCAGCATGCTCTGTTTACCAATAATACGCCTTTCACTGCCGTGAGTTTCAAAAAAAGACACCCCTCCGTCTGAATTTCCTTCCCATCCCCCGCTTCCCACCTTGCACATACATGCATATTGAACGTGTTCAAGCCTCAGATCAGCTCCGCTGAACCTCAACGAATTCATAGCATTAAAAGCACTTTCTGGTGCACAATTTATGTCTCAGAAAGCCTGGAAATTGGGTAAACAACTTCCAGCTCCTATGCAACATACATAAATCCAGGCTTCCTAAACAGAAAGCATTTAAACATAGGCCTATACAACACCTGCCTCTCCAGGGATCCTAAGGGCCGCTGGCCAGCCCAAGCTAGAGACGGGTCAATCATAGGGCGTGGATTAATAGAAAAATATTAGGCCATCTGGATGAAAGTGGGGTGTCCAATTTAGACTAGGACCCAGGGCACAGCTAATTCGTATGAAGGGCACTTATGCAGAAGATGATCCTGGTTCTCATTAAACTTTCCACCATTAAAAGGGTCATTTTTCATAAGCAGATCTGGAGCAAGGTCTCAGTGATATTAGTAAAAGGATAAATAAAAGGCAGCTGAACCACTAGGGCTATAATTCTATTAGAAGGTTTGGGTGATGTCATTAGCCACGAGAGTAAGGCTTGTGGAACGTGCGAGCAAGAAGGAACCCAGGAGATCATGGAGGATGCCACAGAGGCCATGGGGTGGGGTGGGAATAGGGGTGGGGATTGATGACCACAATCATACAGAAGTAAGTCAGGGCCAAAACTGGCATTTGACCCATAGACTCCCAGTTCCAAACTCATAGCTAAGAAGAGAGAGAAAGAGACAGAGAAAGACAAAGACAGAGACACAGAAGAGAGACAGGGAGAGAGAGAGACAGAAAGAGGGAGAGAGAGAGAAAGAGAAGATTTTGAGATT